TCAACAATCCAAAGAGGCTTATGCACCCCTATGTTCATTGCAGCATTATTCACCATAGCCAAGAAGTGGAAGCAACCTAAGTTCCTCGACTGATGATTGGATTAAGAAAATGTGGTATATATATACAATGGAATACTACTCAGCCATAAAAAAAGATAAAATCGTCCCATTTGCAACAACATGGATGGGCCTGGAGTGTATTATGTTAAGTGAAATAAGCCAGAAAGAGCAAGACAGACACTGTATGATTTCACTCATATATGGAATATAAACCAACACATGGACAGAGAAAACTGTATTGTGGTTACCAGGGGCAAGGGGGGTGGGGTGTGGGCACAAGGGGTGAAGGGAGTCATGTATATGGTGATGGACAAACAAAAATGTACAACCCAAAATTTCACAATTATTAATAACTATTAAAACATCAATTAAAAAAAAAAGTTGTTCAGCCCCACTGATAAGGGGATTAAAATGAACATAATTATATTCTTTTATGTGTCTATTATATTAGAGGAAAAATGTAATACTGAGAGTACTCAGAACTAGAGTTGGTGCATTGTAAATTGGTACCACATTTTTGGAAAGGAGATTGGCAGTGTGTATTGAGCTACAAAAGTTTTCAAATTATTTGATGCAAATAATTTTATACCGAGTAATATGTTCTAAGGAAACAATCCAAAATATAGAAAATGCCAAATGAGAAAAAAGGTATTTTTTGAAGTGTGTTTTTCAATAGTGAAAAATATATTGAAAAATATGTAGCAATTGAGAAATATTAGATAAATTAATGTACAACCTTTAGATGGAATATTGTATAGACATAAAAACGATGATTTTAAGGAGTAGCATAGAAATAGCTTATAATAAAAGGTGAAAAAGACGCTATACATGTCATTATAAATTTGTCTAAACTTATAAAATGTACAACACTAAGAGTGAACCGTAATGTAATCTATGGAGTTTGGGGGATAATGATGTGTTCATTTAGGTTCATCAGTTGTAACAAATGTATCACTCTTGTGGGGGTGTGGATAATGGGGGAGGCTATGCATGTGTGGGGTTGGGGGCTGTATGGGAAATCTTTGGACCTTCCACTCAATTTTTCTGTGAACCTAAAACTGTTCTAAAACATAAAGTCTATTTTTAAAAAGTATAGTTTAAATAAAGTCTTTTTTTTTTTTGAGGAAGTTTTGCCCTGAGCTAACATCTGTGCCAGTATTCCTCTATTTTGTATGTGGGTTGCCACCACAGCACAGCTGCTGATGAGAGGTGCAGGTCTGAACCCGGGAACTGAACCTGGGCCGCTGAAGCACAGCATGCCAAACTTAACCTCTAGGCCCCGGGGCAGGCCCCTACAGTCTATTTTGAAAAAAGAGAGGATACAAAAATATCCAGCTTTTTAAATAAATGGCCAGGTAGTAAATATTTTTGGCTTCATGGGCCATGCAGTCTCTGTCGCAACCACTTAACTCTGCTGTTATAGTGAGAACATATAGACAGTTTTTAAATAAATTAAGATAGCTGTGTTCCAATAAAACTTTATTTACAAAAACAGAGCTGGGCCATAGTTTTCTGACCCCTAGCCTAGGGTTTTATAAGCTATAATTTATCTTTATTCTGGATTGGCTAGCACAATTTTGTTGGAATTAGAAAGGAAAAGTAACTGCCATTCTAAAATCTTTATGCCTGTGACTTCAGAAGACTGTCTATAAGTCTATTAAAACACTTTCTGGGGAATAATAATGAAGATTATCATGATGACTATGGCAGCTATAGCTATATTCTATTTAGATTTTCTCCCTAAAGTTAGATGTCATAATATTCCCCAAATACCATTAAGAAAATGTTTGATGGATAATGGAAGTGTGCTGCTGTATTAGGCTACATTTTATATATATGTATATATATATGCGCGCGCACACACACATACACATATATAATTATATTTTTATTTTATTATATTAAATATAATTGATACATTATATATAGTACATTTTTTTTAATTTAAATGATCATCTAATTTTACATTTCTACATTTTAATTATTTATTAGGATAGTACTTAAAACAATGCCATATTAAAATTGATACTGAGCTAAGTTTGTTTTCTCTTACTCTTATGGTCAGAGTGATGGAGCTCAGTCATGAATATAATTTCTATGCTTGCTATCAGTATCACAAAAATCACCGGTTAGATAACATGTCAGAAGTAAGCTCTAAGTGCTAGTGAGTGAATTGTTTCCTGCTTTTATTTACTTGAACTTTCCCTAAGACTCATACATATTTCTTATTCCATGTTGACTAAGCTCACTGAAATTTGCAGATCTTTGCACAATTTTTTGACAATAAGATTGAACATTTACAAACATATACATGTATATGTTTGCACTTCCTTGCTTAAATCCTGCACCGCCTTCCCATTACCTTTAGGACAAGGTCCAAGTTCCTTAATCTGTATTATAATATAGCAAGTCTGGCCACTACCTCCTCACACTCAGGGTTCCAGCCCTTTCTGGCTGTTGACTCTTGCCCGTGGGACTGTGCAGCACAAATTGTTCCTCCTGGCTGAAGCAGTTTTCTCCCTTCTCTCTTCCTCTGGCTAACTCCTACTCATCCTTCAGAGCTTCATTTAAACGTTTCTTTTTTGTTGTGAAAAAATCTCCTCAGTTTCCTAGACGTGGTTGGGTGCACAGGCTATGTATAGCCTCTGTCACAGGACGTATTTTCCACATTAGCGTGTGAACGAAGGTCTTCCCCAGCAGACAGCGTGCTCCACGGGGAGGAACTATCTGTGTTGCTGATCATCCTGCCTCTGTGTCTCAAGCACAGTAGGGAGGGGCTTGATAAATATTTCTTATATAAAGTTTACTGAGAAAAATTATAATTAGCCTTCTTGCATTGACACATTACTGTCTTTTAAAGTATGAATAAGGGATATATGCACACTGATTCTAATTTTTTTTTAATTAAAGCAAGGATGGACTTCGAGATCATGGGCAATCCGGAATCCTTGCCTACCTGTGTAAGTCACATTTCTTCACATTTGAGCTGTTTAATGGGCAAATATTTATAATACATTGACAAGTACAAAAAGAAAGCATAATTGTATATGTAGCTGTGATTGTGAACTACGGAAAAATTTATATGCATGTGGATGGCCTGAAAATGACTCTGCTAAAATTAAAGTAGCTCTTGTGATAGGATGGTTGGATTAAGGGTAATATGTCTCTTGTTTTTTACTTTCTTTAATATTATTTTTATATTATCCTGAAAAAGTTAAAATGTAGTTTTATTTAGAAAGTTCAGCTAAATGCATTTATTAAAGAAATATATGAAATTTTTCAGTTTATAATTGGGATAGTCAAAATGAATTTAATGGGAGTATATCTGTGCTTTGATCTTATCTTGAGGAATATGACAATTTTATCAATCTTATTAAAATGATTTTATTTTGGGACTAGAATATATTAATTTATGTTTTATATTTTACATTTTTGCCTTTTAAAATTTGGAAGGATATGATTTTTATATATTTTTAAATATATTAGACTACAGGACTTCTTGGAAAATAGAAATTAAAAACAATAATTTATTAGGCTGAGCTATATAAAATTGACATGTTTACAGATTGCACATGGGCAAATATCAGCAATTTCATGTGGTTCCACATAATAGAGGCCTATGTGGTCATCTAGACAAAGCATCGAGAGAGGTGTGAGTGCTGGGTACAAGATACTGAGGCTGTGGTGACAGTCAGTGGTGTGCTGAGGGGTGTTTAACAGCTGGTTTTCTGAAAGTGTACTACAAGTTCATTACAAATTTTACTTGTTAATTATAAATAAAATTAAGTATATTTTATGTTGAATATAAGTTTTACATGAAAATATCAGCCAACGTGAATGTTGTTCTTGTAGAGTGACGTGTGTGAGTTCTTTGCTGAATCAAGTAACAGTTTTGAATACCGGAACAATGTTTCCTCAGTTTTTTGTCACTCACAAAACATGACAGTTACAGACATGATACACTTTTAAGTTTAATATGTACTATTAACATTTTCTCCACCACTTTTTTAAGTCTCAGAAATCAACAAAATAGTATATCAAGTCCTGATTCGTAGCATTTGCCCATTTCTGTGTAAATCACCCCACTGTGGCTGATTTCAAGCTGTCTGTGTGATGTCACTGAACATGGAGTTGGAAAGAGACGCACACCATTATGTTACCACACAATACGATAGATGTAAATAACTGCTGGGACACAGGTAATAGTGAAGTGTAGTAGAACCATCATGAAGTGATGACTTTTGAGTATTTATTATCTTTGTTTTTAATATAATTTACTTAATTATAAGTTGATATAATTTTATTTTTACTAATTCCGTGTTAACAATCAGCTCAGAAAGTTACTGAACATTAGAAGCCTATCACAGCTGGTAGGAGCCAGCACCGCTGGGCTCAGTCTACCTGTTTATATAAGATGTAGTGTATATGGTTTGCAACTATTAAAGTCTCATTTTTAAAAGTCATGGGATGCATAGATTATTTCTTTCAGGGTCCCACCACTGGATTTGGGAAGCCTTGTTGACTCTGATGATGAGGTAATTTTTACTTGGTGTTTGATATAATAAACATTTGAACATAATATTACAGATAGCATTTAATAAGTGTCGTTTAATTTTATTTTAGGATGATTTTTCGTATGTTCCACTTAGTACAGCACATATTTATTTTAACCCACCAAATTCATCTTCTGCTTTTGGTTGTGTCACACCATGTCAAATTCCATGTACTCAGCGTCACCTAAATGAACTGGTTAGTATTTATTCCTCATTACCAACTTTCAGAATTATAGTGTGCATTTTAGCACTTTTTTAAATCCAGAAATGTCATTATGTTCAGTCTATGTTTTGTCCAGTTTAAATGTTTTATGTATTAACGTCCCAAACAATAATTTTACTTTGTTTTACATTTTTGCCTCACATAGAATGGCATTTTTAAAATGTCTTATAAAATTGGTAAAGTACAGGTTTATACTAACAGAGAGGCCAGGGATTTAAAAATTACAGCAGAATGTTAGATCAGATCTTGCTAGTTTAACAGTATAAAATTGGCTTCTTGGAAACTGACTCATAACTAGGATACTACAGAGTAAGAACTATACTCATTCCAAGGTGTCTCCTTGGGACATATTTATACTTCAAACAATACTTAATGCTTATTCCATGCTATCCATAAATTCCATCAATTCCATAGCATGGAATAAAGCACAAGTTCTAACCAGTACTTTGTGAGCAGGGCTTGCTTTTCTGTCTTTATTAGTCTTTCTCCTGTAGCTGGCTCTGTTCACATTCTCCTCAGTCTCATTTTTGATAGCTTGCATGAATAGGACCCTAGTCTGTATCACGCTGCAGGTTTCACCCTGAAGCTTTGCCTCATCCTTCTCTGGATATGGACATGGATTCAGCACTTTTCGAGGGTTGTACTGCTTTATCCTCCTTTTGGAGTGGCTATCTCTCCATGGGTGATATGTGTTTGCTTAGTGCCCCTGTTAAGTTTCTCTTATCCACTGGTTCTGTTGTCTCTCGTCCCGTGGAAATGTGGCAGGGAACCAAATAAAACCAGAAGGTAGAATATCTCAGTGTTCTAGAAACGGCAGCCAGTGCTTCTCAGGATTAGTCTCTCCAGGTCCTATGACTATTCTGGAGGAAATGATTGACAATGGAGTTTTTCTGGGGCAGGAAAAATGCCTATCTAAAACTCCTAAGAAGAAAGAAAAGTCATTTTTTCTCCTCTCAACTTATTTTAGAACCAGGATTGATCTTCAGCTGGGAAATAAGGTACAGGCTCACTGGTATTTAAGGCCAGCGCCCATTCTGAGCAGTTCTGTGTGCTCTGATTGCTCAGTGATACTCTACCAGCTAAATGTTTTAAATATCACCTCTGTTTAGAACATAGATTATAATGGTCTGTTTCTTAGACAATAAAAATGCTAAGGTAAATGATAAACCTGTTAATGTTAATAAGGAAAATTAATAATAATTTTGGGTTTTTTCTGATGAATAGCATGCTTTTTCTTTTTACCTCTAGGAGCAGGACATAATACCTGAAAATTTGCCAGCCCCAACAGACAAATATAAACTAAAATATCAGCAATACAAAACTGAAATGAAAGAGGGATATAAACAATATAGTCAGAAAAAAGCAGAAAAGGCAAAATCTAACATCACACATCAGCAGTCTCCAAGGAATGGGACCGATGACAAGGTAATATAAGACGCTTTATGAAGTTTAATGATGTTTAAAGAAAACGGCACTTGTCTTATAGAAACAGCTTTTTGTCTGATATGTCTTGCTGTTAGTCGTAATAAGTATAACAGCTAACATTCGTTTCTGTGTGCCAGGAACTATTTTAAGTATTTTACTTATAGTAACTAGTTTATTCTTCACAACAACCATAAAGGGTTATTATCACCATTTTCAGATGTGAAAACTCTAGCCATATGACCTAGTCATCTTTTCTCTGTTAGTAGTTTTGCACTTGCCTTGGGATTGGGAATAAGACAATATTATGTATCTGTTTTTGATGTGGCTGTCTTGAACTCTCTTGGTCTCATGGTCTACATTTTAAAGTTTAAAAGTGATTTCAGACTTTATAGTGACTCTTTTATTCTAAAACTGTCATTACTCCATGATTGTCTTCTGCTTCATTTTAGGAGATGTTGTTTAACATCATGAATTGCAGAAATTGTTATGCTTTTATTTAATATTAATTAGGTGTAAATTCACCATTCATGAATATAAGAGCAAAGTAAACATAATAAATTTAATGGCTTGCCATAAGTGTACAGGAAAGATCAATCCTAAATTTTGAAAAGAAAAGTTTGAAAACAGTTTATGATCCTGCTGGCCATAAAGAGACCTCTTGGATCAATACTTAAATCAGTTAACTTTTAATAAGAATAACGTGTTTTCAGGCCGGTCCCATGGCATAGTGGTTAAAGTCCGACGCTCTCTGCTTTGGCAACCCAGGGTTCATGGGTTCGGATCCCAGGTGTGGACCTACACCATTTTTGTCAGACATGCTGTGGCGGTGACCCACATATAAAGTAGAGGAAGATTGGCACAGATGTTAGCTCAGAGCTAATCTTCCTCAGCAAAAAAATTAAAATAAATAATATATTTTCAGGGAAGTTTGATGGTTGTATTTGCTTAGCATTTTCCTGTAGGTAAAAAAAAATGATAAATTTATAAGTAGATGTAGCATATCAGCTATTTTTTCTAAATAATATATAGGAACTAGCTAGAACTAACCAAATCACATAGTGTTTAGCTGAAAGAGTAACAGAAATTATGGGATTATTTGGTCTGTTTTATCTTAAAACAAATTTCCCAGATCCAAACAGATACACACAAATATAATATTCTAGCGTCTGTAATACTAGCAGGATAATTTCACAACCCTTTAGCTTCTGGCCATGTATTATTTGCAGGACCTACCATGTGATATTTAGATATTTAGATCATTGTAATAATGTCAGGAAAATAGAATGAAGGTTTCTATAAGCACATGCTTTATTTGTCACAGCAAAATGGTTCAAAATGTTTTTAAAGTAAAACTTTGATTTCCTTTAACAGAAGTTCAGATGAGGACATTTGTTTACTTTGGGGTTAAGAAAGGGACAAATATTGTTTGCAAATCTTGCCATATGATTGGTAAATATTTACATAATATGAATAAAGGATTTTATAAATAAAAGCCAATATGTGCCTATTTTCTTCTGGAAAAGATCCTGTTTTGCTTCTTTGATTTTTCTAACCTACATTTAACCTATATATTAAAAGTTTAATATGTTCTCGATAGTCTTTCAAAAAAGCTCTGGTTTCTATGCAGTCTTTATTATAATAATCTTGTACTTAAGGGGTTTGAGCAACTTATTTGCTGTCTTTTTAGATGTATACCATTATGAGAATCAAAACTTCTGTGTAAATGTGCTGGTTAGTAAATCCTACTACAATTACATGAATTAACACTGGAATAGTAACCTCTGGAAATAGAAGAGGTCCCTGATATCAGAAGTGTTAGCTCCTCTTTAAAGCAGGGAGCAACATGTAAATTGATTCTCTTTACTGATTAAAAAAAAAAAAAGGTAACCTTAAATATATTTAGGATCCAGGACAATAACTAAAGTCCATAGCTGCTAATTAATCAGGCTGATACATCATGGAACTTATAGCAGGAAAGCCAGGCAACACATCTTAAACATATCTATAATGAAATTCATGTAGCAATCAAATGTTGGGAAGACAGAGCAGAGTATGAAGATGGAATGTGACCTTTCAAGGAAGATCTAATGTAAGAACAAACCCTGGGGAAAAAAAATCTTGAAATCTATTAAATTTTTGACAAGTTGCTATCCTATTGGGGCATTATTTTTTGTTAAGTTGATATGAGCACATCTTATATTCAGAGAAGAATTTAGTGTTTGTTTCTTTAGGATCCCAAAGGATCCTTTACCTTGTCAAAAGTTCAGAAATAGCAGAAGTAAAACCAATGAATCACCAAAATAGTAATTAGTAAAAGTTTATTGTACAGACACCAAAAAGACAGTTCTTGAACCGGGAGCACTCCAACCAAGTGTGGAAGGAGGCTGAGGGGGTACTAGATAAGAGCAGCTTATCTAGTGAGGACGCTGTGACTGTTCATTCTTCCCAGGGACTGATTATACTATTAGAATTTTCCTAAATCATAAGGAATTGGTTAGTGGTTACCTCATATCAATTTTGGGGAACAGCTTAAGTTTTGCTTATGATTTCCAGAGGCATAAGCAAGAAGTGACCCAGGTCAAGTTAGTCTCGCTTGTCTTGCAAAACAAGCTGAGTTAGGCTTCGCTTGTATGACTAAACGGGTTTTGTCTGCTCAGGGAATGTCAGTGTCTCTGTGTTTGATTTTAACAACCTCAAAGGATACGTCCCATCTGTTAGTACTTTACTTGCAACTTTAGGAGTGACATGCCCACATCTGTCAACTTTACAAAGACTCAAAAGGACAGTAATAGAATAGTCGCTACCTTTTATTTAATGTTTACTGTATGTCACGTACTTTTATAAGTGTTGGACATGTGTCATCTCTTTAATCGTTTCTTGTGTATGAAGTAGTAACTATTATTAATTTCCATTTTATCTATGAGTAAACTGAGGCCTAGTGAGGGCATCCAGCTAGAAAGTGGAGGAGCTGGATTCAAACAGGCAACCTGCTTGTCAGAGCCTGTGCTCTTAATCCCCATGCAGATAACCACTGGTCAGCGGTTATTTAATCCTTTATTTTGTTAAAAAACAAATATTCTAAATATGTGTGTGAGGATTCACTAATTGCTTTCACGTGTAGTGTGTACGAGGTGAAGAAGCCTTCGCGGATGACCTCACAGTGCTGGATAGGAAAGCCCTCCTACAGCAGGGTTATGCAGACCACACTTACAGCGCACAGGGGAGCACAAGAAAGTCTGATGCCGTAAGTTGGTGGTGGTTTTACTTATTTGATAAGCCACTGAGATAATTTGCCGCCCAAGATTTTACGGACTAACAATTGAATAAATAATTGCAACAATTGAATTTGGACTAAGGTGACTATTCATTAATGTGCAAATTGAGTCCTCACTCTTACAACCCATTGACGTTTGGTGTATTTACTGTGGAAAACTGTCTTGAATCTTTAGGAGTTTGTAAAAATGTAGTTTACATTGTTCAAAATGTTAATTGGCCGCTATTTACATCAGTGGGCTTATTTGGTATCGCCCCTCCCCCCCAAAAGAGGTAGCCTGTTTATTTTTTTGAAAGTCATAAGCTAATAAAACTAGAGAAATTCAGGCCAATTAAGGAAAAGGGCAGGAATAAAGTAATTTTTCTTTAGGAAATGGGAAGCAAAGCTCTAGACTCTCAGTATTAACTTTAAATTATCTCTTTTACAAAATCAGATTGTTTGATGAGTGTCAGTTAGATCAGTTCTGGTACAAATAGATAATTATAATACAATTATAATATAATTATAATTTCTATGGTGTCCTGGGGTAAGCAGACCCAGTTGCTTGCACTTGGAGTCCAGGGGCCACCTGGACACCCTCAGGTGATTCATATCTTAGGCACACCTGTAATGGATTGATGGCATACCAGTATGTAGTGGCTCAAAAGGTGGGAAAACTCTGGTTTAGATGGCCTAAATAATAATAAAGCAGTGTGGATTTAGCTAGTTACATTATCGCTATTATTGAGGGGAAATTTAATATATATTTTATTTGGATAACAGTCATCCAGAACCAATACATTCTGAGTTGACATCAATGTGTAATTAATGTCTGGATCAGGTGGACCATTTTCTGTGGATGTCTCAAGGTACTATCATTCTTTTACTAAAACCACATACACATTATTTTCTATGACGATTATTATTTAGATATTTATGCTTAATAGAATAAGGGGTATTACCAGGATTGTTCTAAAAATAAAAAGGCTACTTTATAGAGTAAAATTGTGTCCCAAATAAGGCTTATTTTGATGTATTCCTGAAGTTATACTTGAAATGGATATTACTAATACTTAAGTCCCTTTGGGTATTGTTCTTGGTATAATCCAAAGCCATCTGGGTGTTAGTGAATTTCTTTTCCTTACAATTAGTATATTATGGCAGTATATCTAAATTCACCATCAAGTACATTTTAGTTTATTGTAGCACTCATTTATCTGTTTTTTTCAAGGAAATGTTTATGTGATTAAACTTTGAATGCATCTGAAATTAGTACTGATTTATTTTTTAAATATAAGTGGAAGCTTTTTAACTTAAGTTTTTTGTTTTTTTTTTTGGTGAGGAAGATTAGCCCTGAGCTAACATCTGTTGCCAATCCTCCTCTTTATGCTGAGAAAGACTGGCCCTGGGCTAACATCCATGCCCATCTTCCTCTACTTTATAGGTGGGACACCTGCCTCAGCATGGCTTGATAAGTGGCACATAGGTCCGAGCCGGGTCCGAACTGGCAAACCCCAGGCCGTGAAGCAGAGTGCCCGAACTTAACCACTCTGCCACCAGGCCGGCCCGTAACTTAATTTTTCACTGCTTAACTGAACAACAGAAGCAGTGAACCTATGGTTTTTCTGTCTGTCTTTTCTAGTTTCTTGTCATTTTTCAGTGTTTCAGATCCTTTGCGTCAGTGTGACTTCTGCGTCTATTCTGCCTTGTGTTTGCACAGACCTCTAAGTCAGGGGGCCTGAGGGTGGTGCTGCCCTTCCCTCCCAAGTGTAAGCCACTGCCACTGTCAGCACACGGGGGGCTGTCTGCACGGGCTCCAGGAGAGTCCTTCGTCTCACCTCTTTTGCTAGCTTCTGGGTTTTACGCCTATGTTCTGGCTGATACAGATGTTTTCCTTTATAATTTCATGTTTTAGTCAGTGTCCACTTTCTGAATCACCTCTAGATCTCAAACATACTTACTTTACCTGTGTTATACAGTTTTTTAACTTTTTAATTGCTGTTTTAATTTATTACTAACCACAAATCATTATAAACTGTCGCCAGCTTAGAGAACACAAGCTGCAGGTTAACACAGTTATGTATTAAATGATATGAGCTCATATGGGGCATATTTGGATCTGTAAACTATACATCTTAAATTTCTACTAAACAAAAATACTACATTCAATCATAGACTAACATTTAAATAATTGTGCCCGTTTCCAGGTTTCTTAGGAGTTTCTACCTTGTGTTTCTATTGTTTTAGTCATTCTTATTTGAATTTTGTCTCAGTTTCAGAGCACTCTTCCTAAGGTTACAAAGCCTATATTAAGCAACGTTATCGTACTTGATTTCTGATCAATGGGGATAACAGTAATTTACATTCTAAAAATAGAACAAGCTTTATTTTGATTTCTTAATTTTTAACCTCTTTTATTACCCTTCTAAAGAAACATTTTAGTGATTATAGTTGTATGATAATCTAATTGGAATTGAATGATTGCACATCCTCCAATTTGATATGACCTAAAATGTAGTAAAAATACTTTTGGATGAATTGGAAAAGCAAAAAATAGTATGAAGACAGTTTAATCAAACCAGCAATTGAGAAAAGTTGATCAAGTATTGTTAATGGGTTACATACACAGAAAAGATTATTATCCTTTTAATGACAGGAGGCTTTTTTGTTTGATGTTTAGGTTTGTGACATATGTTTGAATGATTCAAATTCAGTTTCAGCACCTAATATGCATAATTTTAGACCAAATTATTTGTGAGAGTGCTGGTGTTCTTGGAGCAGGCTGAGATGTCAGTCTCCACCCTTTTATTCTGGTTCTATAAAATGAAAGGGCAGTTTGTGGAAATCTCTGATGATTTCTACTGAAACTTAAGTGCATTACTTTTTAGAAAATAAATGGTGCTTTTAGATTAAATAATTGGAATTTGAATTTATTAATGACGGATATAGTAATCTATATTTAAGAAGGAAATAAGAAATGTTTAATTTATGTTTTAGGGCTCTTGTGTTATCTATTGTATTGTTCTGCTTTATGGACAATGACATTTTCTTTATTTTCTGTTCTCAGGAAGCCGTGGCTGCAGAGAAGAAGAAACAGACTGTTGCCGAGCAAGTGATGACAGACCACTTATCCAGGTGAGAGTTAGTACCTGGGAACAGAAATCCATTCAGAAAGTTTTCATGAAATTTCTTTTTTACACAGTACACACATATCCTTAGTCGATCAACAAGTAGCTAACTCAGAGGCGCCCAAACTTTCTCTGTTCACTGAACTCATAGGGGTTTAGTAATTTTTTCATGGCACTCCTAGGCCAATAGAAATGCCTAATAGTTATATTCATTAAGTATTTTTTGTCTAGACAACTTAATGAGTATTTACTTCCTAACAACTTAAGGGCAATTTGAAAAAAATAATACACATAAATCGAAAGAAAAATATTTTCATTTCGTTCTTAAATAGCCACAATTACTTACTAATGGGATGTGTGCGCCTCTGGGGCACTGCACAATCTCTCCAACCTTATAATCCTTTAGGACGCTGCCACCTTCACTTTCTGTTCCACATGACACTTGCTTTTTATCACAGCAACTGTGGAAAACCCAGCTTTGCAAAGATGTGACGTCATTGAAGGAATGTAGTGTGATATCTTATTGAAACTGAATTACCCTGAGCTAGTAGTGTGCGTGGTATCCTACAAATATTGGGTATCACTGTTTCCCTCAAAAATTAAGCGGGGCTGGCCTGGCAGCACAAGCGATTAAGTGCGAGCGCTCCGCTGTGGCAGCCCGAGGTTCGCCGGTTCGGATCCCGGGCGCGCACCAACGCACCTCTTGGCAAGCTATGCTATGTCGGCATCCCATATAAAGTAGAGGAAGGTGGGCACGGATGTTAACCCAGGGCCAGTCTTCCTCAGCAAAAAGAGGAGGATTGGCAGATGTTAGCATAGGGCTGATCTTCCTCACACACACACAAAAAAATGAAAAATACCCGGCAGTGTCCCTGTGAGTTCCTGTGGCCCCCGAGTGACTTGATACACAGTCTGGGAACTGTGGGACTAACTGTCAAGAATTTTAAAACCTAATCTAGCATTTCATAACCCTTAGAAAACTATATAAAGTTTTGATACCTGCTGTGCTAAATTGCTTGGCAACCTGTAAATATTGTAGGATTTCAAAAGAGGCTGTACTAGTCTAGGAATTCTTCAAGGAAGAAGTGAGACTTAAATTTAGCTTTGAAAAAAATTACTGTTTAGTTAGGTGACAGTCAGAAAGAATGACATTCTACGTGCATGTTTTTCAGTAAATTCTTTGAAATAATTAATTATACTTATGGTCGTCAATGTATCTCCTTCCGTATCTCATGAACTCACTTCGTTTATGTTTCCACCCCCACCATGCCACCACAGTGTCTCTTCATGAGGAAACTAGTGACATCCATATTGCTAGACTGTGATTTCTCAGTTCTCATTTACTTGACCCATCATCAGCATCTGTCTCAGTTGAAAACTTTCTTCTTGAAACACTTTCCTCTTTCCCACTTGGCTTCCTGCACAGCACACTTGGCTGGTTTTCCTTCTGCCTTCTACTCCTCTCAGTCTCTTCTCCTAGTTCCCCTTCTCCCCAGTCTTTGTACCCGAGCGTATACAAGGGCTTGCTTCGCCGACTTCCACATTTACTTCCTAGTTGATCCCATCCAGTATCATGCCTCTTAGATCTATCCATGTGCTCATGCTTTCCTAATCTAAGATTCCAACGTTGCATTTTCCAATCTAGGTTCTTGAAAGTTGTTTCCATTCCCTCTCTCCATAACCAAATCCTCTTTAATTTTCCTTGATGGCAACCCCATTCTTCAAGTTATTTAGGCCTAACTTCTTGGTGATGCCTCTGATCCCTCTCTTTCTCTAAAATCCTGTATCTAGTTTGTCAGCAAACACTCTTAGTTCTACTATCAACGTAAATTTACTCCCTCTGCTGCCACCATTGCTGTTCACACTGTCATCTTCTGTCTCCCGGATTATTTCAGTCACTTTCTAACTGGACTTATTGTGTCTGCATTTGCCCCTCATTGCTCTATTCTCAACCCACCAGACAGAGTGAGTCTATTAAAAGGCAAGCAAGATCAAAACCTCCAGTAATTCCTCATCTCAATCAAAGTAAAACCTAAAAGACCTAGGTATTGCTTAGGTATCACCACAAAACTTAGTAGCGTAAAACAACAATCGTTAGTTATAGCTCATGTATCTTCAGGTCACCTGTCCAGGCTAGGCTTGGCAAAGTGGCTCTACTTTTTATTTCCTTTGGCCAGTTATATATGAGCAAAAGCAATGGTCTCAGTTCGGAGCTTAGGCGTTAAGAATCTTCGTGTGTTTCCGTTTGCCGTTTTGTGCTCCTACATCTTTGTGAGAAGAACACAGCTTGGCCAACCCACTGGTCTCAGGAAGAAGATGCCTCTACAAATGCAGCTGGGCCACTAAGCCAAGATTATCCTAGAAGAGCAGATCCCCAGCCAACCCACACTTGCCTGAGTTAGTTCAGTTGAGATCAGCAGAGCCATCCAGCTATATATAATTGGCCAAAGCCAGTCAAATGGCTAAGCTCAAAGCCAAAGGGTGAGAAGGTACACTACACCTCTAGTGAGGCCATGGCGAGGATGTGGATCAGGCGTGCTGAAAACTTAGGGTCAATGATACAGTCTACCCAGGCCCTACGTGACCCACCCACCTTTAGCACTTGGACCCCTTTTCCTATTTCTCTCTGTGTTGTCTACTCTACTAGCTCATTCGGCTCCTCCCTATGCTGAAACACGCTGGGTTCACTCCTGTCTGAGGTACTTGGCATTTATTTTCCCCTGCTTGGGATGCTTTTCCCCCAGAAATGCGTATGGCTGCTTGCTTACGTTGCTTCGTATCGTTATTCAGAAGCCACCAGCACAGTGTCTGTGTATTTGAAGAATAAGGAGAAAGACATGAAGCTCTGAGTTCTCTCACAAATTTCAGTTTATTTTTAGATAACACTTATGGAAAAAGAGATGGACAGGAATAATCACTTTTTTGTGGCTGGTATTTTTTAATTATTAAATTTATTGATTCAATTTCTGACAAATATATAATTCTGACAGTAGTGTAAATTTGCATTAGTATCTGAGCTTTTCCAACTGCTTATAAATAAGTAAATGCCAGAGCAATGTATTATCACCTCTGTTGGCCTTTGTGTTTTCCTGTTAGGGCTGTGATCAGTGATCCAGAACAAGATGTGACCACTGAGAAACAGGAAAGGGCTCGTGTCCTTCCAGATCCAACAATAGCACCTCTTCGATTTAGGAAAAGAACGTTGCATGAAACAAAGTAAGAAGGTTGTACTTGCATAAAATGAGGATGTAGTGTGTTATAAATGTATTTTTTTTTAATTCTCTTTTTTGTCTAAATGAAAAGTTTTTCTACTTGTTTTTGCTTTTTTTTTTTTTCTTTTTATAAAGGGAAGTGGATTTCTTGGAGTACAGATCCCAGTTCTGCCACTTTATGATATTGGGGTGAACTTTCCCCTCCAGATTTTCTGTTTGTCATTTAGGAATAACAGCCACTACCTTAGGCGATAATATACGTGAAAACATATAATACAGTAACTGAGACATTTGTATGTGCACAATGTATATTGACTGAATCTCATTGATATAATATATTACACATTAGTATTATTTAAAATTTACTATATTTTTTGCGTTTTACTTTGTGGTTTATGAACCCTTGGGTTGGTACGGACTGTGGCAGTCCTCTGGTGCAGTCCACTTGAATTTCTCAGTAGCCTCACTGCCAGTTGACATCTAGCCTCAGCTTTAATAGACAGAAAATCCACCCGTGCCTGCAGCAGTTTTTCATATTTTCAGACTGCAGTAATCGTTAGATAGTACTTTCTTATAACTTTTATCTTTTTGTCTCATTCTTATTTTCTGAAAGCCTTTGTTTCCAGGCCTTTAAATATTTGAAGCTATCGTGTATTAATTTCCTATTGCTGCTGTAACAAATTACCACAAACAGTATTTTAAAACAACACAGATTTATTCTCTTACAGTTCTGGAGGTCAGAAGCCTAAAATCAAGGTGTTGACAGGGCTGCTTTCCTTCTGGAGGCTTCAGGGGAGAACTGGTGTCCTTGCCTTTTTCAGCTTCTAGAAGCTGCCTTCATTCCTTGGCTCATGGCCCCCTCCTCCGTCTTCAAAGCCAGCAATGGCTCCTTGAGTCTTTCTTGTGTTATGTCACTCTGACACTCCTCTTCTGTTGTCACATATCCCTCTGCTTTCCTCTTAGAATGACACTGTGATTGCCTTGAACCTATGTGGATAATCCTGGGTAATCTCTTCGTCTGAGGACCCGTAACTTACTCACATAAGCAAGTCCCTATTATCGTATCATGTAAACTAACATATTTTCGTGTTCTGAGGATTAGGATTTGAACATCTTTGGGGGGCCATGATTCAGCTACCACGTATCTAAACTTCTCTTTTATAAAGTAAACCTTTATTGAAATAAAATATACGTTCACAAAGTATACGCATTTTAAGTGTACAGCTAGGAATTTTCACAAACTGAACAATACTCATGTACCAAGTTCCTAGATCAAGAAATAGGACATTACCAGTGCCACAGGAACCCTCCCGTGCTGCCTCCCAGTTACTGTCCACTTCCTCTGCCCTACCAGGTTAACCTCTCTATCCTGGTATCATAGATTATAACTGGTTATAAACTTACATGAAATTACAAAATTTGGACTCTCTATCGGGCCTCTTTCGCTCAACATAATGTGTGTGAGTTTTATCCATATTGTTATTTGTAGTTGTCATTGATTCTCACTGCTGTACAGTATTTCATTGTATAAATATGCCACAATTTATTTACTCACAGATGATGGACTCCATGGTGGACATTTGGCTATTTATGAATAGTGCTTTCATGAACTTTTGTGCATGCCTTTTGGTGAACATATGTGCTCATTTCTGTTCAGCACATACTTAGAAGTGGGATTGCTGTACCATTTCGTATGCATATGCTCAGCTTTAAAAAATACTGCCAAATAGTTTTCCAAAGTGGTTGCTGAAGTTAACACTCCCACCAGCCGCAGCAGTAAGAGTGTGCTGGTTGCAACATGTCTGCCAGTGCTTGGTATGGTCTTAATTTTTCATTTCAGTTCTTCTTGTGGGTATGTGTTGGTGATTTTTAATTTATATTTCACTGGAGTCTAGTGAAGTTGAACACTTTTGCATATCCATATTGGTCTTCTAGATTTCCTCTTATATGAAATTTCCCTTCAAGTCTGTTGAGTTCTCTATTCCATATTGATTTGTGGAACTTATTTGTATATTCTAGTTACAAGTCCTTTTTCAGTCATATTTGTTGGACATGTCTTTTCCTACTCTGTGGTCACCTTTGCATTCCCTTGATCATGTCTTTTGATGAATAGGGAGTTTCTAATTTTACTGTAGACCGTTGTACCAATCTTTCCATTTATTGTTAGTGTCTTTTGTACCTTCTTTAAGAAATCTCTGCCTACCACAAACTCATTGTCCCTCCGACTTGTAGTGCCACTTAGTCATATATCCAGTTGTTCTAAATGCGTGGTTGGTTTCAGGCTTTTCCTTCAGTCTCAGCTACCTGGCATGTGTCCCTGCTCCAGAATCGTCCTGTCCTCAGTAGTCTTACTTCATCTTAGAGTAAATGCCTGCTGCATGTTTACCTTCAATATTGTCGTGGTCTCCAAGGTCCTTTCCTCTTCAATATAAATTTTAGATTGAACTAGTCTAGTTCCATGAAAAATCCTATGGGGTATTGATTAGAATTATTGAATTTGTCGATTTCACCCCCTCTCACTCTTCCCAGAGGAGGAGGAGAGAGCTCTGCTTCACAGAGTGGGAAGCAGGAGTTGGCCAGTGTAGTGCCGCCCTTCCTCTCCTCTTTTCCGTGGGAGCCAGCTGCCTGAAGACGCACACATTCTGCCCCACGCGTTGCTTTACAGGGTCCCTCCCCAGAGGGAATGAGTGGGTTAGTCTGTTGAAGTCTAGTGTTAAGGACTTAGCTTGTTGTGGCTGCATTCCTAAGCCATGGTTCCAACAGTTTTATCACTAATAAAATTCGTATTTTGATCTTCATCTGCCTGATTCTTATTTCTGTATTAGTTAAGAACTTGGGTAGAGAGAAGTATTGGTGCTACTTATTGGATACCTAAAACCCCAACATAGAACTTCTCATTTATAATATAAATGCCTATTGACTTCTTTTATCTTTTGAAGAACACTCTAGACTGCTTGAAGCTATTGCTGTTAAACTGAGTTCTGCTCACCTTTGAGAATCAATGTAATGTAATGGTTATGAACAAGGTTTTTTCTGGCCCTGCCATGTACTAACTGTATGACTTTGTAAAGTTTATTTGTGAAATGAGGACAATAGTACTTACTTTATAGAGTTATTGCAAGCATTAAATGAACCAATGCACATTAAAATGATTTTAATACTGACTAGTGTCTAGGAAGTTCTCAATAAATAGTAGCTGTTATTATTGCTGTTATTTTCTCAGCATTTAGAATTGTTTTAGGCACATAGTGGGCATTCAGTAAACACATTAGTAGTAATGGATTAAATTGAATTGCGATGACCAAACTTTCGTGTCTCCTGTCTGTGTTCACAAGCTCTCATTTGGTCTGCAGGCTCTTGTTTGCCGTATCCTGCTGGTCTTTCACAGAGTCTCAGCCTTTATAGAAGTGTACCTTTTCAAGAACCCAGTGACCCATACACTTACTTATTATTTATGTTCTTGAAATTTCATTATACCTGCAGTTTTATGGGAATGTCATAAAATTGTTTAAGAGGGGGAGTAAGGATACATCACTGAGTCTTCTGATCTCTCAATATAAAGGAGATTATTAGCAGTAGGGTGCCAAAGATTGTGCATTTGAGTTTTGCTTCATATTATTACACCGAATTTTAGGACTGGCCATCTGTGAGCTCGCTGAGTGCTATCTGAAGGCCATAAAGATTGGATAACTGATCTGAGGTCTCTCCACTGGAACTCTGCCAAGACTGGAACCTCATCCAGCATTCCTCTCCTCGATTCTATTTTAGTAAGGAATATTTTCAGCTACCTGTAACTGAAAACCTGACTGATAGTGACTGAAACAAGTCGATTTGTTTTTCATATATAACCAGCTGCCTGAAGTTAGGCAGTTGTTGGTTTCAGTTCAGTGGCTCAGTGATGGCCCAGCTCTGGGCTGGCGTCATTGAGGTCCTATTGGCCTGATCTGGTTGCCTGATGGCTGCAGAGGCTCCTAGCATCACATCCCTGCCACTCACAGGCAGGAACTCTTCCCATTCCAGTCTTACTGGGACAAAAGAAAGACTTTCCTGGAAGTTTATTGTCAGAACTGGGTCCCTAGTCACCTCTAGTTGCAAGAGGCTAAGAAAGTAAATTCTATGGTGGGAGAGAGGCGAAGGAGAAGAGATTGGGAATGGCTATCGAGTAGCCATGCACGGAGCCTGTCACAGATGTGCTCGCTCTCTGCAGTAAGTACTGCACCAGCACTTTGACCCTACACGTCCTCACATAGGTTGTTCATGTGTTATACACTACATCTCAGGATTATTTCCTCTGTATCTGCTACAGTTAGCAACTGGAAAAGAAAAAGAGGTTTATGTCTTCATTTGTGCATTTTAAAATATTAACCTTTTTTTGTACTTTTATCATTTGTATCAAATGTGGGTAACTTGAAAACAATTATTGACAATTGTTTCTCTTAACAGGATAAGAACCCATTCTACATTAACTGAAAATATACTTTCTCATAAAGTACAATTTGATAGTAGGATCATATCAAGGTAATTATGATTTTATTAAACTTTTTAATTTTATAATTATGAAAAGGTATTCTCTTTTCAAATAGAAATAACAATAATGAGATTAGTTAAATTTGTCACGTTTAAGTGAAAATGTGAATTTAGAACAAAAATTTTTAGGTAATACATATTAATCAATCTGTTACAAAAATTATAGAAAGTACGAACCTGCAAGAAAAACATTTTAATTAGAAGGTTTTTAAAATGTCTTTCAAAAAGAAACTTAGAAGTGAATTTTTTAAAGATTTATATTAATACTAGAAGGTTCTACACCATTTAAAAAAATTAGCCTTTATGTAAGCTGCTTTATTTAATTTCTTTCTTTTTTTTTTTTAAATTTAATGGAATTTCCACATTTCATTTATATTTATTTATTTTTTCCCCCAAAGCCCCAGCAGATAGTTGTATGTCATAGCTGCACATCCTTCTAGTTGCTGCATGTGGGACGTGGCCTCAGCATGGCCGGAGAAGCGGTTCCTCGGTGCACGCCCGGGATCCGAACCCGGGCCGCCAGCAGCAGAGCGCGCGCACTTAACCGCTAAGCCACGGGGCCGGCCCTCTTTTTTTTTTTTTTTTGAGCAAGATTGGCCCTGAGCTAACATCTGTTGCCAATCTTCCTCCTTTTTTCCTTTTTTCTCCCCAAAGCCCCACTAAATAGTTGTATGTCATGTTTGTACATCCTTCTAGTCGCTCTCTGTGGGACACTGCCTCAGCATAGCTTGATGAGTGGTGCGTAGGTCCACGCCCAGGATCCGAAGCGGCAAACGCTGGGCCGCCAAAGCAGAGCATGCGAACTTAACCGCTGTGCCACCAGGCCGGCCCCTTATTTAATTTCATTTTAATGGCTAAATTAAAAGTAGATTATTGATAGATACAGTAAAATGCCAAGCAAGATGATTCTTAAATCTGTTATCTCAGTCTTATAAACTTCCAGTAATACTAATGCTGATTTTCTTTATATATTTTAAAGGTAAAGTGTGTTTTTTAAAATTATCATATTTGTTCAGTGATTTTAAACTTTCTGTGACAAAAGATAATAAATGTATATCCTTGAGTGGCTTCTTGCAAGCTCAACATTTTTTGAAGTTCTTTCACTTTATCTTAAAAGTCTATGTCGAGTTAGTAATCCACATTGTAATACATCTATATTCATATCAGTGTGAGATAAAGCTTTTTTCTCCATCCAAATCTTACTTGAATTGACACTTCAGCTACTGTGTCATGTTTTCCCTGTGGCTTCCCATAACCCTTGTGCATTGCCACACATTCGAAGGAGTTATGCTATCCATCTGTGACATACACAATTTTGGTTTATTACTTAATTTGCAAGTTATCCTATTTGAAAATCTTTGATATCATTCTGTTTTTCTAGAAATGGACGTGATGCTTGCAGAGAGCTGATTGGGTTCTTTTTTACTCATGACCAATCGCTTACAATTTATGAATATCGGCAATTTGGGAAAAATAGGTATGCCATAAAACATTGTTACAGCTCTCAAGATGATTACTTCTGAGAGAAGCTGAATAATTTCACATTTTTGTCATTTAATTTCTAGAACAAGTGTGCTTCCTTTTATTCAAAAAAATGTTTATAGTCACCAGCGTGGACGAAGAACAGGAAAACAATACCAACGTGGTGATTTTTACATTGTAAGTTGTGTGTCTGCAAGCAAGCGTTTTAGTGCCCAGTGTTGGATGTTGTGGGATGCGGTGGGGCTGGAGGAGCAGAGTGTCCAGTCTTCAGTTTATTTTCTTTCCTCCTTGCTGCGCAGGGGCATTTGTGTGAATGGCTAGTAGTTGATGTTTCCCCAGGAGGTTCTGCCTCTCAGGTCCAGATCCCAATGGTCTGCATCTAAGCGTAGCGTTTATTCCCTGTAACACTCCCCTGCCCAAATCTGCAATATAAGCCCAGGAGACTTTGTCTCTTGGTACTTTTAAAGGCCCTAAAAAACATATGGTGTATCACAACGATTCCCTAGAATGGGTCGATCATAGGTAATGTTACAATTAGTGTTCTTATATTTTAAATTATTACATCACGTTATCTCATGATTAAAATGCAGCACTACCCATGGTGATCATTCAGGTAACAAATACATACTCGTAGGCTAAGCACTGGAGATAGAACAGTGAATAAATCATATCCATTCTCTGCTTTTTTGGAGCTTACAGTCAGGGGCCAGATAAGAGGGCCAATGATCCAGTTTTGTGGGGTCCAAGGATGCTTCCTGGAGAAAGTGCCATCTAACCTTGACCTAGAACAGGAGTTAACTAGGCTGGGGTAGGTAGAGAGGAGACTGAGGCCAGGCTTCCAGGTGGAGGACACAGCAAAGAACAAAAGTGTGAAAGAACATGGCTTATTTGGAGAACTGAAAGTAATAGCTCAGTATAGCTGAACTCTAGTTCAAGGTGGGGGTTGGCAAGAGAAGAGTCAGAGCTGATTAAGAGCAGCCTTATGTTAAAGAGTTAACTAAAACATACCGGGGACTCATTGAAAGAGGAGAGGTAGATGGAATGAGGGGAGATGACATTATCAGCCTTGTGATTTAGAAAGATCTCTCTGGTTACAGTGTGGGGAATGGATTGAAGACTAGTACAAAGGACTGAATTGGAGTGAATTATATTAATCAAGGAAGGAGGTTATGGCAACCTGAATTAGGCAAGTGACAATGGCTATGAGGCTAATTAGAAAAATTAAAAAAATCTTCAGGAAGTAGAATCAATAAGATGTAGTGATGGGTTAGGTGAGGAGTTGGGGGTGAGGAAAAACTTCACATCTTAAACTTGGATTAAATATACTACACGTGTAATATGTCACTCATATTAAGATCTAGACAAAATCAGCTCCAACTCCCATTTCATAACCTGCAGAGAGGTGTTTAATGTTTAATGCCTATCCCAAGATTAAAAGTTACCTCTAGCTCTGAGCTGTTGTCTCCAGTTAGTTTAGTATCTATAGTTGATGATTTATTCTCACTATTTCTGTTCCATATTACTTGAGCCAGACGTGGATTTCTAAGAAAGAAAGAAAAAGCGGGGGAGGGAGGGAGGAAACCACACACAAACCATGTATATGATGCTTTGGGTGTGTGGCAGACATTTTGAAGGGGATATGGAGGGAGTTTTATTGCAGCAGTGTAAGCAACTTACGATCCATTATCAGACATTCTTAGTCTTAAAAATATGTGCCTTGAATATTTCCCATGGTAAAAGCCTTCCTCCCCATTTTCTAACTCCTTCCATCTCTTGCTCCTCTCCACGTTCTTCCATTTCCTTATGCGGAAATATTTGACTTTCTTCTTCTTTTTTTGGGTGCGGGGGGCAGGTCTCTTCTGCCTTCCAGATGTTACTCTAGAACGTATCTTTTCATTTCTATATGCCCCATCAAGGTCTTTTCCTACATGCTCCCTAAAAGAAATTTTAGTGCCAGCTGTTAATACTCATATAAACATGCACACATGCCCATAGACACACATGCATAGAAGTGTACCCATATATGTTCACTCACACGTGCGTATATGTATTGTTTCAATGCACTGACGCAGACCACACAGATGTACCCTTATGCACACATGTACGTTTACACACATGCTTATATGCATACCCTGCCACACACATCACATGGTCTCTTCAATTGCTGAATAAAATAATTTCAAGAGAATTTATATACATTTCAAAGAATGGAGAAAGTACTTAGAGTTACAAGTTTTCTAAAATAAATGCTCCAGGAAAAAGGAGAGGAGAGAAATCTCTTCCCTTATTTTCAAGCAAGATCATTAAGCCTCTTATTTTAAATTTGTATTTGACCATATTTATTTGAGCAACTCAGAAATTAAAATAATAACAATTTTCTAAGTTTGGATTAGAGATTTTTGAAAGGAATTTTTTCACTAAAGCCTTGATGCTCTAATTAGGTTAAAATTAGTTTTTTGGGTTTTTTTTAAGGTGATTTTTGTCATCATTTATGTGATGTTTGTCATCAAAAGACCAGGTGAAAGAGGGTGCTGACTCTATCACAGTTCATTAGTTTGCGGTACATCTTTCTGTGGATCAATGGCTCTATTTCTGTGTTCAGGGATGTCATAATTTCAATTAAAATAACTTGTACTTTCTCCTCTGATTCTTATAAAAATTGGAGTTCTTATTTTTTTCACGTGAATTATTAAATCTAAGATTGTTCTGATTGGAAAATTAGTCCCTTTTTTTCCTATGTTATTAGCTGAAGCCTGTGTGGTTTCTAAATATTCTCTAAATATACTTTTTTATCAGTATAAAAAGTATACCATGTCACATACAATGAAAATTGAGTATTCAAAATTAGTATTAGTTTATTGTACTTCTTATATACTTTCTAGCTTTAAATAATTTATCTGTTAATTTCTTTAGGGTGGAAACTTGACATTTTTGAGTTCTGATCATCCGAGACTTCCAGAGAGCATAAAAGAAAACACATTACTTATGCTTCGAATCACAAATGTTGATCAGATAGCTTTGGACTCTCTCAAGTAAGTCAGACATGCATTTGTCATTTTGAAAGTAAGTGAAAACACTATTATCTTAAAGTGAGATTCTATCTCAAAGATTTTTGACTTTAGTTAAGGTTTACATTTTTTAAAACCAAAGCATAGCTATATGTGTCTATTTTATATGCTATCTTGTACTCAAATACACTCCATGTATGGGAACAGTTAAAATCAAATAAAGATCAAAAATGTGCCATTATGTTAGCTAAAGGTACTTTATTAATTTGCTTATGCTATAACAGTTTTATTTTACCAAATGCTACCAAAGTAATAAATTTTAAAAGATAGGATACAGTACAATATTATAAAAACTTTTCCCACACTTTTAGTGTGATCCTTTTTTTTAAGCATTAAAAAAAATCCTGGATCCCACTTGCTTATAGTATTCCTTGATTGATAATATGCATGATAAAAAAATAATGCTATGAATCAAAAAATGCTTTTAAATGAATTTGAGTTTTTTAATCACAGAATGTATATATATGTTATTCCGGTGAGTGGTTCTTGGTGCTAAAAATAATTCAAATAATGACAATAATTGGTATATTATATGTGACTTAGAGGCCATAGTCCTCATATTGGCTGTAAGGAGGTGTGTTTCTTTATCATTTACTATATTGCTCAAAATGAATGCAATTTTTTGGTTTTTTAAAATAAGATTTTTACATTTTATACTTTACAAGGTAAAACTGCTTTTAAATTTAATAATTATAATTAAGTATTTTAAAAGAACATGAAATAATTACAAAAAAGCATATAAAGAGAGTTTAACGGTAGTTCTTGGAAGATGTTAAGGACTTGAGCCCTTGATTTAGCGTATTTCACCCTCCTGGGCTTTAAATCTGAGGCGAAGGTGGGACTTGGTTAATCTCTAAGCCCTCTTCCTTCTTCGTTTGAGAACTTCTTTGAGTCTAGAGCAGGGAAGAGCTTAGAGTTTCTGTCCTCAAGATGGCCAAATGGAGTATCTTTTTACCACTGTGAACATGGCAATTGCAGAAGCGATTCTGTGGAACGTGAGGATGATCTAACCCATCAAGAAGCCAAGGATAAGCTGGTCCTCGAGGCCATTCAAGGTGTGTAATTTACTGCACTCTCAAGTCGTTTGAATTTTCAACCGCTTGCTTTGTAAGCAGTAAAGCAGTATTTTCCAGATATTTCTTCGTTTTATGGCACTTGATTTATATTTCCTATTTGCTTATCTTTTTATGTTTGTGTATATATATACATATTTTAAAATATTTTTAGGATTTATCCTACTTTAATGATCCTAACTGAATAACCAATATTATATGAATTATGAATTTAAGAATTTTAAAAAGTACTAGATAGTATGGGTTTTATTCATGATATGAATACAATGTGAGTGATTTTTGTAATATAATACTTGTGTTATGCGTTAGATGATATCCTAAAGAGATTTGTGGTGGCCTAGCGTAAAAGAAACAATGCCACACTGGGAGGCAGATCCATATGTGGGCGCTGCCATTCAGTAGACATGTGACTTTGTGTAAATCTCTTGCATCTCTTTCTTCATCTCTAAAATGGGGATAATAGCCTATTTTATTAACTTTCCAGAGTTGTTGCAGGTAATAAATGAAATATATGTAGGTTTTGGACACTAACACATTTTATAAATTTTGTTTCTAGAGTCCAGTCTTGTAACCACTACAGTATACTAGGCTCAAATGGACAATTTCTTTTTTAACCTCTAACATCGCGTTCTTTTTTGTTTGTTTGTTTTGTTTTGTTTTTTGAGGAAGATGGGCCCCGAGCTAACATCTATTGCCAGTCTTCCTCCTTTTTTTTTCTTTTTTCTCCCCAAAGCCCCAGTACACAGTTGTATATCCTAGTTGTAGGTCCTTCTAGTTCTTCTATGTGGGATGCCACCTCAGCATGGCTTGATGAGCAGTGAGTAGGTCTGCGCCCAGGATCCAAACTGGTGAACCCTGGGCCGCCTAAGCGGAACGCTCGAACCTAACTGCTGTGCCACCAGGCCGGCCCGACAATTTCTTTTTTGAATGTTATAGTCAGGAAGGGAGGAAGGTATTAAACAAGTAATCACAGAAGTCAGTGAATAATTTATAAGTTTTGATAAATCCTGATTTATCATTTAAAGATGATATGGGAGTAAGAAGGCTAGAAACACATTTAGAAGTTGTCTGGAATTGGCGTTTGAACTCCCAGATATTCTTGATGCCACTGTTAGTAAATTGTTTTCTCTCTTCTGTCATGGTCCACACAATATTGTCACTATTGTATCTGGTGATATTTGTTCTTTCTTCTGATGTATTATGTTTAATAACTGCTTTAGTAGAGTTACCTGTATTAAGTAAAGAGGGCACAACTGCATTGGAGGAAATCACTGACCCACAAAGAGAATGCTAGGGGCTTGAGAAGATGATTTCTTATAAATTCCTAGAAGAAAAGGTTACTTTAATGCAAAAGTATAGGACAGCACTCCAAACCCTTGATGCTATTTAATATATAAGTTACAATTTGAAGATTTCTAACTATTTTAGAAATTTTGAACTGATAATTTTTGAGTTACTTGCCTGGCATAAATTTTGTAATTCAGTTGTTAGCAGCAAAGAAAGAGGAAAGAGATTAAAGATGTGGGATAAAGAGGAAGCCTGGAAAATAGAAACTAAGATTTTATTTGTAACATCTAGATTATTTTCATGCTGATCAAGTGAACCATTCTTTTCCTAAATGTAAGATATAACACTTTCACCACATGGTGGTGCTATAGTTCCGGTATGTTGACGTGTGATTTTATATGTAACCCCCTTTACTAAAAGCATTCTATTTTCCAAAGTCTTTTGTCAATCATTTGTATGATCTGGTTGCATATTCACATCTCTTTTTTTTTTTTTTTAAAGATTTTATTTATTTATTTTTTCCCCCAAAGCCCCAGTAGATAGTCGTATGTCATAGCTGCACATCCTTCTAGTTGCTGTATGTGGGACTCAGCCTCAGGATGGACGGAGAAGTGGTGCCTCGGTGCGCGCCCGGGATCCGAACCCGGACCGCCAGCATCGGAGCGCACGCACTTAACCACCAAGCCACGGGGCTGGCCCGATATTCACATCTCTTATATCAGTTACATCAACTTTAATTTTCTTACAAGAGAGACAATTGCAATTTGATACTTTTGTGCACAGGAACAATTAATTTCCATCTCTCTTCTTCCTAAACAGCTGTGCTCCAAGAACAGCTACGTAACAGAGGTGTGCGTGTATTGACTGGATTGGGAAAATACCTTCAACGATTGGACAAGGAAGGAAATGGACTTTTAGATAAGGCAGATTTTAAGCAAGCTCTAAAAGTATTTCACTTACAAGTATCAGAAAATGTATGTACCATAGATAATTCCCTACCGTGAATGACATATTATTCTGAAGTGGTATTATTCATTTTGCTACTGAAATTATAGTAGTTCATTTGTCTCCTTCTTCTTTATGCCTCGTTATCAGTGTCAAGCTATCAGGCAACAATTCCTGTTGATTTTTAAAATTTCAACGTTTATTCCTCCCTCATTTAGTTATTAAGAGCCTTATAACCAGGCGTTGTTCTAAGCTCTGAGAAGGCATACTCTGTACTCTTAAGGTCTTCATAATGAAAGGGAAGAAATATATAAATGATTACAAAACAATATGATATGTGTTAAACGGAGAATGCTTTCAGAACACATGGGATAAATTCCAAGCCAGGTTATGGGGAAGGAAGGAAGATCATAGGATTCCTGGGGGAGAATCCTCTGAGCTGAGTGTTGAAGGATGAGGAAGAATTAAGCAGACAAGAGGAGAGAAAGAGCGTGGATCAGACAGGGGACACTTCACGAGGAGAAGCACATGTGAAGCTGTGGAGGGGAGAGAAAGGGAATGTGGCCTGTTCCAGGAATTGCAAATGTGTGTGTCCGTCCCCCGCCCCGAGCCTTCACACGTTGTGTTCCCTCTGCTGTGAGTGATCTGCACTAGACGTTTGCATGGCTGGATTTTCTCATCCTTCAGGCCACAGCTTTCTCTACTGAGAGCACTACCCTGACACCTCTGTCTAAAGGAGCGCCCCGTCTGATCCCTGGTCCTCTGTGTACCATTTACCCATTTTATATTGTGCATGCCACTTTGTAAGTATCATCTGGCTCTGCTTGCTAGTAGAATGTGAGTCCCATGGGGGCAGGGACCAGGAGCTTCTGGTTTCCTGCTCTATTTCTATCACTTAAATGGAACCTGGCATATGGCAAGTACTGAATAAATAGACTATGCATTAGTTTACATGGATATATAGATGAGAGGAAGGCAAAGAGAAGAATGGAGAGAAATAAACTCAGCAGTATCCATTACAATAAAGCCTTGCATGCCATGCTGAGAAGTTTGGATTTTATTCTAAAAGTATATGAATTTGAAACACATTTACCTCAAAGGTTTCAGATAAGGGATTCTCTTGCATTGTTCTCTTTTACTTCAAATGGTCTCGTCACAAGATATAGTGTATTTTGTAGAGGAAACACTGGAAATTGAATTTATGAGATTAGATTCAGGTTCTATCCTTACTACTTGAACTGTGTGATCCTGAATAGGTCTTTTAACTCTTCTGATTGACAGGCTCTGCCTAGGCGATCCAGAGATAATACCTATAGTCAGAGTTGCTTTGAAGCTCAAATGAGGAAAATACGTGGGAATATGCCTTATCGAGTATAAAATCTGTGCCAATATGATGTTGCCTATCATTGTTGTGACATACCTGTCGTCTGTGTTTTTTGCAGAGTTTAACCTTGTGGCCCATCTAGTGACACACACTTCGTCTCTTCCTTTCATAAATAATAATGAAAAAAAAAGCAGCAATAGAAAATTAGAAAGCCTTGCTGTCTTTATCCACAATCACATAGGTAATTAATAATGGAGATAAAATGAGAACTCAGATAATCTGGGCCAGTCTAGTACTTTGTGCATCACCACAATACTTCTCTTTTTGTTGACTTGCTAAATTTTTATGATTGGATTCAGGAATAAAAACTAAAATAATTATATAAGACTTCTAACACAGGGAGAACATATATTATGAAAATATGAGTAAGCTTCCCCTTTTTCTCATTTTAAAAATAATATCCCCTGTTATTTTCCCTGTAATGTCACTGGAGACTGCCCGTGCAGAGATAAGCAAACACAAGAGTGTAAAACTCCCCACCCTGGGCGAATTGTGGAGCTAGTTTGTGGAAGGCATCGTCATTCTTCTGAATGTGAAATAAAAAAAATTGATATGCTCCCTAAATAGTCTAATTTATATAGAGACACTGTCAATAAATTTACCTCAGTTTTTTTTCCTAACTGAATTATTATTTTCTATTCTGTACCATATCTTCAAAAGGAAGAGTTATATAAATTTGTTGCCACTTTTGGTATTCAGTTATTGAAAACTATTTCTTATAAGCTTCAAGCAGTATCTTTTCATTCTAGTATTCCATGAGTCAGGTGAGCAAATTCATCTTCTTCTATCCATATTACTTATGATTTTAGAGGGCAATCTCATTTTCACACTTAAAGCTCGCTTTACAGACACTTACAGGCTATATCATGTACAGGGCATTATGATAGACAAAAAAAGTATGGGTTTTTGAGAACTGGGGGGAGGCAGGGCACCCTAAGATTTAGTTTTTCTCATTAAAGTCTTAATTGAAAAAATAAGGAGGAAGTGGGAGAGAATATTTTTGAGTACCCATTATTTGTCCGTCACCTTGCTTGCTAGATGTTTTATTTACATTCTCAGTTAAAGCTAACAACTTGATTGAAACATTGAAAAGATATTCACCTGAGTTTAAGAAAATCTCATGCTATAATTTCTTTGTTGCGAACTCTGTGAATAAAACATTCTATTAAATAGTGCATTTGCCAGAGAAGTCAGTGTCAATGGTAAAATGAACAAATTGGCATAAGAGAATTACTCAGAATAACACCTTTTAGTGTAAATTATGGAATCATATTAAGTCATTCAAATCTTCAGTACTTACAAGCATGAGGACTAGCAGAACTACAGTCCGTGGTCCCAATGCTATTGGGAGTATTCCAGAACCTAAGTGACTTTTTAATTACCACAGATATAAAACATTAAAAATAATTAAGTGTTCTGGTTCAAGTAAATGGTAAGCATTTTTTATGTGGCTATAGAAAGAAATTAAACTTAAAAAGATAAATTTGTGACTTACTGCCGCTCCTAAATGGTTCTTGACTTTACAGAACCGTCCACTATAGAGTTCATTTAAATAGCTTTCTTAGTGCCTTTGCTTGGATTTATATTTAACTTTTTGGAATTTTCTTATTAAAGTCTGCTACCTTGTCTAGGGCTACAAAGGGTGTAACAAAATACTATTATGATGATGATTGTTGTGGCCATATATAACTTAAAGGTGTAACAGTGGTCTCTTTGTGATTATTTCTAGGATTTTGAGTCTTCATGGCTAATTCTGAATGGCAATGGCAATGGCAATGGCAAGGTTGATTACGGAGAATTCAAACGTGCCATTATTGGTGAAATGAATGAATACAGGAAATCATTTGTTCGAAAGGTAACTTTGTTAAGTAATCTTTCAAATAGTTACTTTTAATAGATCATTAGGTTTATTATTTTAAAACTTTAATGAATTACCATTGAAAAGGTTTTGAATCCCTTTACCTGTAGTGTATTTGGGTTTAGTAAAACACACACATACAACTCTGCCCAGGGTAAAGCAAAATAACTTATGCATATGTTTTAGGAAAATATTATAAAAGGAAAATAGAATCTGAAATCAAATTTTGGTTTACAAATTACTAGTACTATAAATTGCTGGCCCCATAAATGACTAGCTATATGACTATATCTGTTATTAAATATCTCTGAGCCTCAGTTTCTTATCTCGTAGAGGTGGTATAAGGATTGACTAAGATGATACATGTAAAATTCTTAGCCTGGTGGCTGTCTCAGTGTCAAGGCTGAATACATGTTATCTTAGGATGGTGACTACTAGGTGTTTCTCTGGCCTTTATAATATGCATGCTGAATGTTAAAATGAAGATGAAAATGACTATGTTAAATTGGAATTAAAAACAGGAGCCCCAGGGCCGGCCCTGTGGCTTGGCGGTTAAGTGCGCGCGCTCCGCTACTGGCGGCCCGGGTTCGGATCCCCGGCACACACCGACGCACCACTTCTCCGGCCATGCTGAGGCCGCGTCCCACATACAGCAACTAGAAGGATGTGCAACTGTGACGTACAACTATCTACTGGGGGGCTTTGGGAGGAAAAAAAAAAAAAAGGAGGAGGATTGGCAATGGATGTTAGCTCAGAGCCAGTCTTCCTCAGCAAAAAGAGGAGGATTAGCAAGGATGTTAGCTCAGGGCTGATCTTCCTCACAAAAAAAAACAAAAAAAACAAAAAAAACAAAACAGGAGCCCTGATTTTCGTAGGAAAGTACGTATTACTTGGGTTCTGGTAGACGCTTTTAGAGCGTACTTTTGAGAAAGGTAGTTTTCCTTTTCTTTTGTGTATATACCTGATGTAAAATGTACATGTATCTAATATTGAAACAAAGCTATTGTTTATGGAGTAGTATAAACAATTACATCAGATGTAAATCACAAATAGAAAATATCAAAGTCTTTACTGGCCAAAAGACAATAAAAACCTTATGTGAAACAAATTCACCACATAATATTTGTAAATTTGCGTTTATTTGAACTTTATGTGTCCTAGTAATAGGTTTGGGTATCAGGAATAGAAACTGGGGAGTTGTCTCTTTCATAAATCTTGGTGCTGGGAGTAGAGGACACAAGTAGAGTTAGAAAGTGCTGTGTTAGTTTCCTAGGGCCACCATAACAACTTCCACAGACTAGGTGTTACACAACAGAAATTTATTTTCTCACAAGTCTGGGGGCTAGAAGTACAAGGTCAAGGCCTCAGCAGGTTTGGTTTCTCCTGAGACCTCTCTCCTTGGCTTATAGATGGCTTTCTCCCTGTGTGTTCATGTGGTCATCCCTGAGTCTCTGTTGTCGGTATCCTAATCTCCTCTTATAAGGACACCGGTCATATTGGATTAGGGCCCACCCCAATGATTCCATTGTAACTTAATTACCTCCTTAAAGGCTCTAACTCCAAATACAGTCACATTCTGAGATATTGGGGCTAGGGCTTCAACATATGAACTTTGGGGGATACAGTTCAGCCCGTAACAGGTACCATATTTCTGTGAACACATTATTGTGAATAAACAAACTTGATTCTAGTTTTGATTCTTCTGTGAATGTGGGATGTTGCTTTGGCTTGGTTGTGTGTTTCTATGTACCCACTCCTCTTCTCAATAAAATATTCTGTATTTCATGATACTCAGAATTACATCGAATTAGAGGAGCAATAAAACAGCTAGGATTTCAAAAGGTAGTGTTAAATTTCAGGAGATAGAGTAATCAACTCATTTAAAAGGTATTTCACTTTCTCATTGATTTTAGTGATGGAATATTTGCAAAGTTCACTTTTCAAATCAAAATAGTCCTGGCAATTTGTCTTGGCCATTTATCAGTTTCATGTGAATCCTAGAGCTGGAAACTATCTGAGATATCTTTTACCCAACTCTTCAGTGTGCAGAGGAGGAAAGCCAGGGTGGCTGAGGTTAGGTCACTTTCTCAAGGTCGGGCTGGAAGGTGGCAGAACTAACGCTTGAATGCAGGTCACCTAATGTCTCGCTCCATTATCTTTCTCCTTGCATTCATGATGCTTCCTTCATACAACAGTTTAGTACTTTTAAACCGTCTTGTTTAGAGCTCAAAAATAGCCTGCTGCAGAATAGAAAATTAAGTTCTCATGTCTAATGATTTCATACAAAAAAATAACATTTCTCTTTTTATTTAGGCCTTTATGAAACTGGATTTCAATAAAACTGGCAGTGTGTCTATTATAAACATAAGAAAATGTTATTGTGCAAAGAAGCATCCTCAAGTAGTTTCAGGTAATTATTCTGAATCAGAATGCATTAGATTTCTAAAATGTTAGTTAATAAAAATATCTTCAAATCATATTATAGTGTGGACTTGAGGCCAGTAAGGGAAGAAATAAACAATTATTTTTTAAACCAGAAATGTGAGAGCTATTTGACCTTCTTCATTTAAAATTCTTAGGTCTATTATCTGTATTTATTTTTTTCTTTTGTGTTTATAATTGAGATTGAACTTTTATTTCTTGTTGAGGAGAGAGAGAGGAATATGAGTTAAAAAGAACAGAACAGATTGAGAGAACAGATAATTACATTTCCAAGTTCTCTGAGTTAGTTTGACTGTATCTGCTTATACGTGAAGATTTAAGGCAGAAGGAGGGACTATCTTTCTCTAGGGATGGATCTATACATATAAGGAACATACATGTGTCTATCAAAATTTGAGAATATAAAAATATCTCAAAGTAATTCTAGAGATTCATTACCTACTGTATTTCTTCTGACTTTTATTTTTACATAATTGATTTATAAATGAATTCTTACTATAAAGAAAGCATTTGGCCTCAGTAACTCTCCTCTTTTCATTGCATGTCCCTCTATAGAGGTAACAGTTATTGTCATTTTATATATATATATTTTGGTCCTTACTCTTTGAATTTTCATAACTGTATATGTACGATAAATATCTAATTTTTTTGAAGATTTTTTTTTTTTACATGAAAGGTACACTAAACATATTGCTATGTCGTTTGCTTTTTACACAACAAAGAAGCCATCCCTAGGTGGGCTTGAACCACCAGTCTTGCAGGTAACACCCAGACGTGCTGATTGCACCATAGAGGTGAAGATTTGAACCACCTTATTTTTACCTGCTGCATATTATTCTTTTTTAAAATTAGTATACTACAGGGGCCGGCCCGGTGGTACAAGCAGTTAAGTGCACATGCTCTGCTGCAGCGGCCCAGGGTTCGCCGGTTCGGATCCTGGGCGCGCACTGACATACCGCTTGTCAAGCCATGCTGTGGTGGCGTCCCATATAAAGTGGAGGAAGATGGGCATGGATGTTAGCCGAGGGCCAGTCTTCCTCAGCAAAAAGAGGAGGATTGGCAGATGTTAGCTCAGGGCCAATCTTCCTCACAAAAAAAAAAAATCAATATGCTACGATTTACCTAGATAGTCTCCTATTGGTAGACTCTAATTTCTAATTATTGATGTGTAATTAATGAAGCAATGAATATGCTTATTTGTGACTCCTTAGGCCCATTTTCTATTGTTTTCTTAGGGTAATATCAAGACCTAGAACATCTACATTTCAAATTGTAATTGATCCTTCCAACTTGCATTGTAAGATGGCTACACCACATTGCCCTGCCATTAGTTGGAGAATTCATTTCCGCCACCACCTTGCCTTAGATTTTTGCCAATCTGATAGGCTAAAAAAAAATTTTATTTGCATTTCTCAGGTTACTGGGGAGATTTAACATATTTTTGTATATTTATTGACCATTTTTAATTTATATTTTATGAATAGTTTCTTTCTAATTTATAATTTTGATTATATACTGGTAAATACTATAGAATGCTATTATTCTAGAATTTTCCTTTTGTAATATTAAAAGAAGATGCACTTTGGTTTATTATCATTAACCCTTGTAAATGGCTTATTTATAACTTTTAATTGTGAGGCGAAAAAAACAACAGAATTTGTTATGAAGATTAAAGCTAATCATCACTGGCTTCCCAATTTCTAATAATCTATTTCAGGTCAATATAGTTTAATTTGCTTATCAATGACTTTAAATGAACTACAGTTGCCTTAAGAGAATTTCTAGTATTATTTAATTGTATTTAATATATCTTTCCCTTTAAACCCATGCCATTCTCTGCTTTTTTCCTTTAATTAGTCATACTAAATATAAGAAGAAGAAATTTTATTTATTTCAAAATTAGGTGATTTCAACACCATCTATTTTTTTTTCTCTTTGTTTTCTCTCCTCTAATAATCTTAATTAAGTTGCTTAAGTAGCTTTAGTTTTAGTATGTGTCATTGAATCGTTGGTGATGGTTCTGTTTTTGTTGTTGGATAAGCCTTTGTTAGTTGAAGAAATTCCATACCTTGTCTTTGCATTCGCATTAAGGAAGATAAGCTAAGAAGTCGAACAATCTTACAAAAAGGAAAACGTGTTACTGTTTTTAAAAAAAGAAAAACAAAAAACATTTATTGTTGTCTATCATTAGAAATTATAATCTATTCACATGCTCATCTCTGGGATGTAGATTGTTTATAATTTACAATTAATTTCAAATTAAGGCTTTTATATCACACGTAATTTAACTATAGAAAGTATTTTCTTTTTACTTTGCTTAAATAATTTATTAGAAAAAAGCATTTTCAGCTTTAATAGAAATGGGATTTCCCAAATGTATTTCTGTGTAATGGTATTAGAAATGTAACATTGTTTATTAAAATACTTTCTGGTCTCTGAGAGGAGTGAAAGGAAGGTTAGTTAAGTATGATAGAAGGTAGGTATTTCCTGGGTGGGGGAAAGGAGGCATAAAAGAGACATAAAATTCTTGAGTATTTGAAACATAAATTTAGGTAAAAAATATTTTTCTTAGAAAAAATAGTGTTAAAAGTCATCTGTTCAAAAGTATGGATGGTAAAAGGGGCAATCTCTTCTGCCAACAGGCATATATTTTTATATAGATTAGATCTTGATTAATTTTTATCCTTGACTTTCAATCACAAATTCACTTTATTGTTTTATATTACCATCTCTGCATAGCATAATTAATCAGTCCTTGTTCATTCAACCTGTTTTCTTTTTAAGTAAAATAATCACTTATTCTCTATTTCTCATGTATGTTTTTAAAAGACAGCAAACATCTTGCCATCCAAAGCAGATTTCATTCATTTAGTTTGAAAGGCACTTTACAATGATTTATTATCCAAGTCCATTAGAGAACCTCTGGTTTTTGAAAAAGGTCCAACTCTTACCATAATTTTGCCCACCCTGTGAGACGAACAATTAAAGGTGGTATTCACGTTTGTTATTTTAAAATGCAACGTGACTTTAAAATGATTTAGAGTCACACAGATTTTTCTGACCCTTTTTCTGCCTTTCTATATGGGCCTCTGTTTCTTTTCTTTGAGTGTTATCTGACCATTTTTTTAAGCTTCTTTTCATCTTTTAATTCCTCTTTTCTTGTTAAAAAAATGAATATCTTTCTTCCTGTCCTGTGTTAGGACCCCGGGAGTAGATCAGTGCGAGGAGGGCGGGGCGGGTGGGGCAGCGAGTGAGGGAGATGAGCTCTGTGAAGAGTGCCTGCGCTGGGGGTGGCTGGCGATGGCGTCCTGAGGAAATGCTATTTAGGGTGAGATCACCTCTTCCTTTCAACTGGCCGTAATAGAAGCAAAGTGACTTATTTAAATAGCTTATTGTTCTCTTTCTGAATTAAAAATCAAATGAATTTAAAAAAGGATGAATCAAATATTTTATGTTCTTTTGTTAAGTGACAAACTAAAGAATTACAATTTTCTTTGACATATGTGGTTCCCCATAGCATCTTTCTATAGGATAAAATTAATCATGTTTAATATAACCCAGTGGAAATAGCCTACTTAAAGTCAGAGATTAAAATAGAATGACTTAATCAAGTGAAAGTTCTTCTAGCAAAGCTCTTCCTGACCCTCTGACTCCTGTGTTTGCAGTGATATTTTCTAGCTGCAGTTATGAGTAACTGATTCGTGAAATCACTAAGCCTGAATGCAGCGATGCCTTCCTTACATCGCATTAGTGTTAACAGCCTAGAAACTTTTGAAACTATTTACTTGTTTTCTTTCCTCATTTCTAATGGGAATGAAACTAAGTCTTCTACAACATTAAGAAAGACAAGAATATCTACAATAGTAACTATTCTTTTGCTTATACATATAGGATACCCCCCATCAGAAGCTTAAAAGATGCCTCAAATGTGTATTAAAGTCATCACCATTAAATTCTAGTTTATGCAAGAAAATATTCAAATAAATCAGAGGGTAGTTTGACATAAGATTTCAGATTGTTGGAAAGATTTCATAAGGTGATTGAGTGTTTCTTGATCATCCTCAGTCATTTTACTGGACTTTTAAGGAGCTTGTTTCATAGTCAGTACTATTTTACAGGCCATTCTACAGAGGAAGAAATCATATCATCTTTTCTAGAAACCCTGAAAGATGCCTGCAGCAAGTCTGATGAAGTGTCGTATGGTGAATTTGAAGATTACTATGAAGGTCTAAGTGCAGGGATAGTCAATGATGAAGATTTTGTTACTATCTTACGTACTCCGTGGGGGATTTAGTTGTTTAAAATGAATATACCATCAACACTAAGCATTTTAAGGGAGAGATGAATTGAATGTAAAGTATGATCGAACACTGGAATATGTTTTTCTAAGGCTCCCTTTATTCGTTTTTTTTTTCCCTCAAAAAGTTGAGTCTGGAAAGAGAAATATTCAGAAAGATAGATGCTGGGGTGTGTACATTCACGCACCTGTACGAGTGCTCGCCTGTCTATAAGTTTATAAATCTCTGTCTTTTTGATTTATTACTTATCTTGAATATATTTTAGAGGTCATTTTTTTTTTTTTAGCTTTCATAGGAAAGTTACATCTGTATCAAACTGTATGACAGCATCTATATAGTAACCACGTTTCTTGTCCGCGGGTTTTTTGCTACCCATTCCCCAAAATATAATTACCACCATTCTCAATTTGATGAATTGGAATTGGGCCCAAAGCCTATGAGACTGAGATAGTTCACCTTGTTTCAAACATATGAAATGTAAAAGGAATTAAAGTACATGCAAGAGAAATTTTCCATGCAGTGTGATTATAGATGTTTTCTGTAACAAATATTTAGAATGATGGAGCCTTACCCCTAAAAGTGCTTATTTAAACACTGACTTGTCTTATGAATTCTTGTCTTCTAAATTATGCACTACTGTTTGTTCAATAGAGTACAATGTAATTATTCTAGTGACCAGTTCTATTTGTTCTTTTCTTCTAGTTTTTAACTGCAATCCTTATTACCTGCACAGAGTTGTTATTTAGCTAGAAACAATACAAAATGAGAGGGGGAATGTTTTCTTAGATTATTAAATAAAGATCTCAAAAAGTGCATTATCACATACATGGACTAAGAGATAATTTAGCAATTCTTAACCAAAATGTAAAGAGATATTTTGGTCCTAAAATGGATGTATGTTATTCTGAATCTCTTTTGGGTATACTGAACAACTGAAACATTTTCTTCTACATAGATATTATTTAATGGTTAGATGTGTTGGAATCATTCTGTCTAAATTGTTCTATGTTCCTCATTTCTCCTTGGAAATACAGAGAGGAGAGAGAACTTTATAGAGTTGTTTCCAAGTTCGTAATTTTAAATTTTATGTATTAAGATAACATAAATTAGAAAAAAATAGTGTCAAGCAAAATAAGAAGTGGTTCAAAAATGAAAATATATACTTTGTAGAATACAACTTTTGGCTATTCCCTTGGCAACATTATCAGAAATGTGAGGCATGTGAACTCAAAGTAGTACTTTTTCAAGATCTGAGGAGGTATTAAAACTCAATACTAAAATATTAAAAAGAAAATATGTATAAACATTTTAGTGCTATCTTCACTAGCTAAATTTATTCCTTAGGATTTTTTTTTTCAATTCGGTTATTGTAATTAAAACAATATGCTGGAAAATATTTTGGCAGAAATAAGTCTATAACACCATTTCTGAGTCACGTTCTTTTTCTTGGAAAAATTTATCCAACTATAGTCATCTTAAACCCTATAGATTGTTCTCACATTAAAGTGACTAATACTGTGGGTGCTCAGTATGCATGAACTATTTTATTTTTCATTGATAAATTTTTATTTAGTTCTCCTTAACAAACCTATTCTTAATACTGTTGTGTCATATTTTCCTGTGAATATAATCAGAAAATGTGTAGGGTGGCATATTGTAAAAAAGGGGATGTTCTTCTGGGATTTAACATATTACTACAACAGCATGCTCTTAAAAAAACCTCCTCCCTCTTACTCTAAATATTCATATGTGGTCATTTGTAGAAGTTTCTCTATTCAGGAGATGTAACTCTTTTGTAGTTAATTTCTTATCATTTTACACTATTATTTCCATGTAGAGTTAGAAAACACATATTCAATATGTTATTTGGTGTATTTTGTTAAATTATAATTGGTGGCACAATAAATCATTCTGCTTTTGCCTCACTGTCTGTATTTTTCTTTGACTTTGGTATAGTAAAATCTATTACTTAGTATTAAATTTAATAGAAGTTACACTCTCAAACATCCACAACATAATAAATGACTTTTGAAAATTCTATTATTTATTTATTTTTTGCCAATCCTCCTCCTTTTTTTTTTTTTCCCCTTTATTCTCCCCAAAGCCCCAGTAGATAGTTGTGTGTCATAGCTGCACATCCTTCTAGTTGCTGTATGTGGGACGCAGCCTCAGCATGGCCGGAGAAGCGGTGCGTCTGTGCGCGCCCCGGATGCGAACCCGGCCGCCAGCAGCGGAGCGCGTGCACTCAACCACTAAGCCAC